AAGAGATTCCTCTATGGGAAAGGCTGGTCCCTCTGGTATTGATCCATTGTGATAGTACCGCAGCTATCGCTAAAGTTGAGAACCGGTTCTATAACGGAAAGAAACGACAGATTCGTCGTAAGCACAGTACTGTAAGAGAACTCCTAACGATAGGAGCATTGAGCATGGATCATATAAGATCCGAACAGAATCTAGCTGATCCTTTGACGAAGGATTACCTAGAGAGAAAGTCCAGAATACCGCCAAGGGTATGGGACTTAAGCCTACCGAACCACGGACTACAAGTGATGGTAACCCGACCCAATAGACTGGAGATCCCAAGAAATGGGTTTAATGGGTAATAACAAGTTATGAGTAGTATGCGAAAAGTTCAGGCATAGTGAAGCATGAGTCCCAAAGCAATGGAGGTTGAGTTAATAACTCTTAATGAGATCTATACCCTATGTGGGATGGAGTACTTTACTTTGGGGGTACTCTTGATAGACTCACCTATGTGAATGTGGGAGTGGGGCCGCTCCCTATGGAACTTTGAAGGCACAAAGTTGCTAGAGCGTTCACTAAACCAGGATAACGTGCATGGCCATAAACGCAAGGGCTAAGAAGAGAACACAAATCAATGAAAAGATCTGGTGTGCTACACTGTCTGAGATAGGATTCAAGACTACGAGTCACCCTTATGAAATCGGAAGTGTAACCACTACGCTAAGGTTCAAATCTTCGCGATACCTTAGCTTATGCCCGATCTTATGGATTTGTTGATGCTCAGAGATAGTTTCAAAACTATTCAAGTGGGGAATTGTTGGGAATGAATGAATAGCTTTGAAAGCTATAGAGTCTCAAGTGGAAAAACTACCACATTGGTAGTCTTACTTGGTGAAATGTGTATAAAGATAGGAGCCTCTCTCCTACGCGCATGCCTCTTGGGGTGACCCACTTTTGTGGGAGAGGGAGGACCTAACAGACCACCACACACGCGCGCGCGCGCCGACCGATCGGTTGGTTGGATATTTTTTGGAGAAATTCCGAACGAAATTAATTATCTAATAATTAATTATTAATCGGTTATTCTGAGGAATATTCTAAGGATAATCGATTAAAAAGGAATATTCGACGGATAATCCCGCAGAATTTATCTTAACCGACGGTTTTTAATTAAGGAAGTAATTATCTTCCTTAATTAATCCGACTTATTCCCCAAGCTAGAGGGTATATTCCTAGGGGTTCGGCTCCTATAAATAGCCGCCTCCCCAGCCCCTCTAAACACACCACAACTCTAAACACACCACAACGAGCATAAATACAATAGAGAGAGTGTTCAGAGAGCTCCGGTTTTCGCCCAAAACCGCGAGTACAGAGAGGAGATGTTTTATCCTGGAGACGACCGGTTGATAGTCTGTCGTGCGCATCGAGGGCAGTGACGTGAACGTCTTTAAGAAAGCTACCTAGTCCGCGACTCAGCTGCAGATTCGGTAACCTTGTTCTTGTTGTTGTTCCGTTCCTAACAAGTTCGAATCGACGATCCACAAGGACAAGGACCATTCCTCCAAATCGCCGGTTCCAGCGGAAGGCGGGCTCCACACGCTGACGAGTAACGTCACCGACTACCTCGCCCTCCTCGCCGACGACTACAGCTCCATCCTCGCAGACATAATGCAGGGCTGGCCTCGTCGTTGTTGCCAGAGTAATCCTTCTTCGACAGCCCGCGATCCGACGATGACTCTCAGGAGCCGGCGTTGTTCGTCCGGTTCGCAAATTTTTTCTTTTTGGTGGCTGATTATGTCTGTTTTTTATTTTTTTAATAATTTTTATAATGAGGTGGAAAGTAAAATAATTATATTTTAATTTTTTAACTACCACGTCACTAATTTAATGGTCAATTATGAGAGTTGACCGCCACATAAGCAAAAGTTAACGAAGACTAATGGCCAGTGATCAAACTTGGACTGTTAACCTAATTTAAGTGATTACGGATGGAATAAATTAATTCTAATAGCTAACGTGAATTTTACTAGTAATTTAAGTGACCAAACTTTCAATTTAGCCGATTATAGAAAGGATGCAATTACATTAACACTACAAAAAAAAGGACTTATGCCAAGGGTTTTGTAGCAAGGGTTGCCGAACCCTCGCTAATTTTTCCGGAATTTTTTGTAGCAACGCTTCTTTTCAAGGGTTCGTAAACCCTTGCTACTTTTAAACCAGATTTCAGTGACACGCGAAAAACCCCTGTTTCCCCTTTCACATTTTTTGGTAGCAACGCTTATTCTCAAGGGTCCGGAACCCTTGCTACAACTAAAACAAATTTCAGAACCCCTGTTCCATTTCACGATACGAGAACCCCTTTTCCAATTTGGTGATTCTGCCTGAGTGAGCGAGTTAGATCGGAAGGGTGATTCGCGACTGAAGGCATCTCCGACTGAAGGGGCGAGTCGCGATCTCCGTCACCGCTCACTCCGGTCGTCGCTTCTCCGATCTCCGTCGCTCACTCCAGCCGTCGCTTCTCGATCTCCCTCTCTCACTCCGGCCGTCGCTTCTCCGATCTCCCTCGCTCGATTAGGTTGACAGGCGATTGTCGGATATTACTCGCTCGCTCCGGTTGAAAGGTTATTCTTCCTTGTCTCCCTGGCGCTCTTTGCTTTCCTCGCTTGCCTCTCTCGCGCGAGCGAGCTCATTTGCAGCCTCTTAGGGTTTGTAGTTCTTAGCTCATTTGCAGCCTCTTAGGGTTTGACTTCCATGCTTTCCTTAATGATTCTATAAAATCCAGACTGAACAAGAGTTCACGTTCACAATCTGCCTTCTTGCTAGAATACCAATCATTAGATTTGTAGATAGAAGCAAATTGCTGTATTATACTGGTGTTTGGTAGGGGGAACTTCAATTTTTATACTATTGAGCAAATTGCTTTACCATTCCTGGATAACTCCTGTCTACTCTCATAATCTCTCCTTAACTGCATAATGACATTTACATGTATGCATGAAAAATGGTCCAACATACAACATAGTTCTTGATCTGCCCTCTATTGTCTTTGAAACAGAGGTGAAGAATATTCTTAATGGTTACATTAGTAGTTTGATGTAATAATTGCTTTCCATCTGTGTCTTCGAAACAAGAGCTGTAATTGTTTCACAAAAGTGTGTTAGAATATTTGATTCTAGTCTTTGGTTAGTCTTTTAAAGTGAGAAAGTGGGGTGCTGTTGTTTGAGTTTGGTAGTAATACTAAACAAGTCTATGCATGTGGTATAATATTAAATTTGTCACAACTCTCCTCTTGCTTTGTTGAATACGTATGCAAGATAATTTATGCTGTAGTAGTTTATTGACCTGTTACCATGTCTTAGTGAGTTTCATTTTGGCAGAATGGTCATATGCTATTAGTCTCTGTATTCAGTTGTGGATGCAACTTCTGATCTCTTCTTTAGACTATGAAAATCACTTATCTATGTACTGTCGATTAGCTTTTGGGTAGTCGTGGAAATTAGCCATAATGCTTATAGCTAGCTAGCTAGTTAACAGTTAACAAAGTCATAACATCAGGCTATAGCTAGTTGAGATATTAGTTTGACTCACTTCAAATGTTGTCAAATGCACGTAGGTTGAACCACCACTTTATTTTTACTTGCCTGGCATGATATGAATGCATGAGAAGGGAAACCATTCTCGTATACACCAATTTGGGTATATTTTGAACTGCAACTTGGATCAGAGTGGAATGAGAAGCAGGCTAGCTAGCTTCCGTTTGTTATTAGCTTCCCTAGGCAGGCATTGATACACTTTGATTGTTTGTTTCCATCACTTAGGCTGTGTTGCTAACTTGTAGTCATGTATGGCGTATACCTAACTGGTGTAAACATCATTAACTCCATTGTGTATAGTATGGGGAAGCATTGCAAATTAAAGCCCAGGTATGGGCCGTGGTACTGTTATTGCCATGTAACGCTTAATATATAACTTTATAAGCTTGCTCTGTGACCTGAGTACTGTTTCTTCTGTCTTTTGCAGCCTCTTTATGTCTTTCCTCTTACTGTTGTTGTTTGTCATTTGGTGTCAGGTGAAAATGGCAGAAATAAGAAAACATGAGGAAAGACGAGGGTGCAAGATGTATGGAACATGGATGCAAGTGAAAGGATCGAATTGGAGATTGACAAATTTGGAGTTCCGTGTGGTGGCGAGTCATCTCTTTTTACATCCTTTCTTGGGACGATTGCAAAGAACAACACCTTGACTCCAGTGTCGATAGAGCATTGGAAAAGAAGAGAGTTTAAACCATTTCATCGGCAAATACTGAAAATCACCAAGGTCATTTTTACGTACCATTTGCCTTATCTCTACTATTCTTTTTAGTTTTTACCTACCATTTGCCTTATCTTTTTCCCATCTTTATTCACATGCGTGCATTATTGAGTGGCCATATCAGACTATCAGTCATCATGATTTGGTTGGTAGACAAATAATGAATTTCATAAATTGGGTTTTTAAAGGAAGGAAAACAAAGAGAGAGAGAGTAGATAATGGTAAATTACTTAATTAATTAACAGTTAGTTATTATGTAATAACAAGACAATATCTTGTTTAGAAGAACATAGAATTAGGGAAGAAGAAAGGGTATTACCTGCTTGAACTGTTTCTGTAAGCTTCACTTTGACCTCTTTCTGGCCTTACTAGTGGCTAAACACAACCAAATTAATCTCTCTAAACTTGAGGTTTGTGGCAGACAATGCGTGTGAGTGTTTAGGAGAGGAATAGGCAGGAAATATCTTCTGTGTGTGGTCAATCTGAAAGTTCTTTCGACGGCTATTTCATAGCAGAATCCCCACAGGCAGGAAATATCTTTTATTATGCTGAATTCTGATTCCTATGCATTCTTAAATTGTTGCTTCATAAAGGATAAAGCAGCCGAAATGGAGGGCCCTAGGGAGGAAGTTTTTCAGAAGCTAGCAGGCCGGGAGCATAATGGGAGGCTTCGATGCATGAGGTTAGGGCCAACTCCGACGACATATTTTGGAGTGTGCTCGAGAGGGGCTGCATGTGGATCTTGTTCGACTGGTCATTCATGTGAGGATGCGACTGCTTTGAAAGAGGAGTTAACGGAGGTGAAGAAACACATGGAGGCCATGGCGAGGTTCATCAGTAGGCAGTTTCCCGGACAAAACTGGATGGAAGATCAGGTAATGTCCAATTTGTCTTTTTTCCTAGTCAATTACAGCTGAATGTTTTTGGTCATTCAAGATAATCTTTGCTCTGCTACTACTCTACTACTCTGCTGCTTGTTTTCTGGATTGGGTGTCATTATTTGTGTACTTGAATCTGTTGGATCTGTTTGGAAGCACAATCTGTTTGAGAATGAGCTTGGCATATGTTGTCATGGTTTGTTACATCATCTTACTGACAGACAAGTTGTTTCCCAGAAAACAAACTTTGGGATGAGTCGTAAACCGGCCTGTATGCACTAATTGTGTTATTATATTGTAGACTGGGATTCCAATTGGTAGATTGCTTTTCCGTTCCCTGTGGTTAACTTTCTTCATGACATTGTTTTCTTCGTCACCTCCCTGCATTATTAATTAACTAATGGAACAATGGAGTAGGTTTAGTTTCCCATTTTAATAAAGGGAGAAAGAGATTCCTTATGAAGACAAGAATGCTCGTTAATTATTGTTAATTTGTTACACAAAACAGCTAACAGAGCAGTTCTGTTTTATCTTCCATAAGTGTGAGTAACTGAGTATCATGTTTGAGTAATGATATTAGGTATTTACTGCTTAACATCATATTGTGGAGCATGCTGACCCATGAGCTGAGGACTTGAGCTTGAGTCTATTCTGTAACATTACATTCTGGGTTTTCTTTATGATTTTTTATTTTATTTTATGAGCAGGGTGCCACTAGTGCTCCTACACCATCAATGGGATCTCGAGCTTCGTGATCAAATGTCGTATGAAGCATTTTGGAAATGGTCGATGGTAAAGAACACCATGTAAAGAACACCATTTTGGATTATGAATCATATTATGTTATGATTCATGGGTATATGATATGAATTTGGTCATGTAAAGAACACCATTTTGGGTTCTTTTGAGAATGTTTGAATGTTTATGGTGATTAGTATTTAGTCATGTAAAGAACACCATTTTGGATTATGAATCATATTATGTTATGATTAATGGGTATATGGTATGAGTTTTAGTAACAAACTTGGTTCTGGATTTGTTTTAATGACCAGGGTTTGCAACAAAGCTTTTGCCACGAATCTTGTTGCCTATCTTTAGTGACGACTTTTAGTGACCATTTTGATTTCGACACAAATGTTTTTTTAGCTTTAGTCACAAACTGTGCAAGGGTTTTAACCCTTGCAAGTAGAGTATCTTCAACAATTTTACATAAAGTTACAAAGGCCTGTAGCCAGGGTCAAAACCTTTGCTAGATATAGGAACGAATTATGCAAGGGTTATAACCGCTGTTACGAGCAACACATGCTTGAATTTTCACATACGTGTAGCAAGGGTTTAAACCCTTGCTACAACCGCTGCAGGGGACTTGCACCAAGGGTCGCCCATAACCCTTGCTACACGTAGCAGGGGCGGCTTTGCCAAGGGTCCGTCCAAGGGTTGGTGAAACCCTTGCTACATCCTGTAGCAGGGGGTTCAAACCCTTGCTACGAAGGAAAATAACCCTTGCCATAGACTTTTTTTTGTAGTGTAAGAATAGTCAACCAGTTATGAGGGAGTTGGTTTTGGGCATACGAACGAGCGACCCAGTCCGCTTTGACAAATCTCACTTTGACGCTTGGGAACTTTTTGGTAGTGTCCACCATAATTCCAATCCAACCTGCTACCCTCCATGTCCAATTATGTGAAGATTGTTTAATTGCCTTAGCCAGAGTGATGCAATCCAAAATACAGTGCTAGGTCGATATCTATTTTTAGCAAGAGAAAATCCCCTCTAAATTCTAATAATGCTTTCGCTTCAGATTCCAATGTTGAATTACAGAGCAATAATTCAGCTCTCACGTCACAAATTAACAATGACTATTGGTGATGAATACGCCATATTGCCGCATCTTGAGAGTCGTGAACAAACGCCCCATCAGAATGAAGATTACTTGGCAGTGGTGGTGTATTTGATCCGGGGGTTGAGTGAGCTAAGTAGGGTGAGCAGTAGTAACAATCCTCTTATTTGGAATGTCAACCCATCAATGATATACTTATGTATTGCTTTTGAGCAGGCAGTGTTTGATGGATTCCACAGGGTCATTACTATTAGTAATACGTGATGTATTAGTTGTACTATAAGTTAATAGTTTCCTTGTCCTTGTATTAGTCTGTACTTGTATTACTTGGGTATAAATACCCCTTGTTATAATGATAATACACGCGTTTTACCCAAATCTTACATGGTATCAGAGCTGGCTTTCCAACTCTAAGAAACCCTAATTTTTTCGACGCATATGTTAAGCGTCTCAAGCTCGTTCTCTCGTCGCCATGTCTGGTGTTAGCTCGGCCTCATCCGACGAGGTTTCTTCTGGTGGTTCCTCTGGAGAAGCAGCCCTTGTCACGTTCAATCCCACTACGTCTCTCCCATTGAAGCTGACCGCCCAGAATTTCCCTTCGTGGCGTGCCCAGCTAATGTCCCTGCTTGCTGGGCTCGATCTCACGGGTTACCTTGATGGCACTCTTGCTGCCCCGACTGCCATGATCACGGTAAGTGGCGCTTCGGTTCGTAACCCTGCCTATCTACGTTGGTACCGTCAGGATCAACTTCTCTTGAATTGCATCTTTGCCTCTGTATCCGAAGGCGTGCTTCCCTTCATCAGCTCCTCCGCGACCTCCTCTATTGCTTGGTCGACTCTCCAGCGCCTGTATGCTGGCTCGTCTCAATCTCGTGTCATGACTCTCCGTGATCGCTTGTATGGCGAAACCAAGGGTGATCTTTATGTTGTTTTGTTCATCCAACAGCTTCGCACTTAAGCTACGGAGCTTGCGCTTGCTGGAGCTCCGTTTTCTGATGTCGAGTTGGTCACCCTCTGTCTGCGAGGACTTGGCCCTGATTATTGTGAATTTTCCGCCGCCATCCGTGCGCGTGATTCCATTCCTCCTCTCGAGGATCTCCTTGATCGGTTGGTGACACTTGAAGCTGACCTCCGCACCACTAAGTCTCCTGATGCTCCTGCCACTGCGTTTGCTACATAGCGTGGTCGTCGCGGTGGAAGCGCTGTTCGCGGTTTGGGTCGTGCTGCATCCCCTTCATTGGTCGTTCTAGTATGAGGGGCATGTCGCTATCCTCACAAATATCCAGGATAACAAAATCCATTGGATAATAAGACTTGCCCACTTGAACTAGGCAATCCTCCACTATGCCTCTAGGATGAATCACAGAACGATCAACCAATGTAACACTCAACCTAGTGGATTTCAATTCACCTAGGTCTAACTTCTTGTAAAGCTTGTATGCAATGTAGTCAAAAGTGAGATTCTACGTAGAAACGTTTTGGTGATCTAGAAGCGTAAAATCGTAAGTTTTTAACTACATAAGTTATAAAAATTGAGATTTTGTGTAGAAGCGTTTTTGTGACCTAGAAACGTAAAATCATAAGTTTTTAAGTTTTAAAGCGCGATTTTGACTACATTGCTTGTATGGCATGACATTGATGCTAGCTACTAAATCCGCCAAGGATTTCTCTATATGAAATGTTCCAATGCAAAGGGGAATAGTGAAGCTACCTGGATCCTGTTATTTTTAGGAAACTTGTTCTGCATGATGGTCGAGCACTCCTTGCTCAAAGTGACTGAGACGAGGTCTTCGAATTTATGATTATTCATGAGAAGCCCCTTGATAAACTTCACATACCTCGACATTTGCGCCATTGCTTCCAAAAAGGATCCGAGACGTTGATCTTGTTAAGCATCTCCATAAATTTCTCAAACTCCGCCTCCAAACGTTTATAGAATCGTGAACTTGATCGATGTGACATCGGGTCAAGGAATCTTGCTATGAGAAGGCTAGTTGCATGACTATTGAGCTAGCCCCACTTTGATGAGTCCCACACGTTATTACCTCAAACCCGGCATTATAAACCATATGCATGATAGACCTAGATCTAGGGCGAGGGTGGTACCCCGATGTACCTGCTTTTATCTTTGATTTCTAGCTCTATCATGCGTACGCAACATAGGGTGGTACCTCGATAATATTCTCTTCAAAAATCGTTAACTTCTTTGTGCGTACGCAACATCACTCACGTATGTGCATCTCCCATATTTTTTCCTTGTAGGGAATTGCTTGTCATGCACAAAATAGTTGACAAAGAAGATGTCTACTTGTATTTTTGGTAGCTCCCCTCTTATTATGTAAGCCATGCGGGACTTCAACATCTCTTTGTCAGCATTCTGACAAGGAAGATGTCTGTTATTCTGATTCCACATATTACAATATCTCAATTCCTCAAGCTAAGTAGCTTTCAGGAGCCCATGTAACTTTCTGTTTTCTTTTGAAAGTTATTTAATGTAAGAAAATATTAGATAGAAAAAAAATAGAGAAGGTATATAGTTTGGGTAAAAAACGTATTCCATATTTAAAGAAAAGTGTGAACAAATTTGTTTGAGCCAATTAAGTTGAAATGTTGTAGTGTTGGATGATCATGATTCATGTGTTCTTTTTCTTCCATTTTTCCCACTAATTTATAAACACCTGAAATAATGACGAGGAGGACATATTAAAAACCAAACCAGTCTCAACTAAGGAAAATACTTATTCATTGAGGAGACTAGACGCATAAAATAAAGGTTCAATGATAGAATGAAAAGAAAAAACTTCTCATTCCTTAACAAAACCATAATTAGTATTAGACTCGTTTGATTTGAAAAAATCAGAAGTTCACATCAAGTAGATGTTATATATATATTATGTACATCCTACGACAGTATCAAATGTTTTTTAAATTGAAGATATATTTTCTGAGTTGGTTAAGATTAATCCCCCCAAAACAGATATGTCAGTGGAAGAAGCCTGGATAATTTATTTCAAAAGGTCCTCGACATTGTTGAAGTTGTTGTTGATGCGGCTTGGCTAGCTTACACCTCGGAGGTGTTGTTGTTAGACATGTTCCTTTATGATCTTTCCTTGTCTAGACCTTGGTGTTATTCTTGACACTCTGAACACGGGGATGAATTCTTTAAAAACTAATTGTTGTTGATCTAGGTGTTTCTTTATATCTTTCAGAAGACTAGTCTTCTTATTTTTGGGACCCTTCTAGGGGACCTTGACGTGCTTCTGATTGCCAATTCTTCTTATATGTAGCAGTTGTTGTTGAAGCTCCCTTGTCTGGAGCAGGGTGAAGCTCCAGACTAGCAGCAGCAACTTAGCCTCGTCGCTCCTTCAAAATTTTGAGTCGGTTTGTCAACTTTGTTAGTGTATTTAAAGGTTTTAGTTCCTATTGGGAATACAAAGGCATGACAACTACCATAAATAAAACTATTCTCAAGCACATGCAGAGGTAATGATCTTGATTTTTTATACAGGAAAAATGCACATGTAATTTTGTCCTATGCACTCAAGTGGTGACGATAAATTGAAAATAAAAGGTGCCTTCATATTCCTAACTATATTAACCATATTCAAAAACTAACTATGAAAGGGACTTACATGTCCTTACCTCAGTTTTAGTATTGCTTGACTTCTTAAAACTAGTTGACCTAGTATTGCTGCTACTTTGTCCAAGATTCATCTTCTTGTTTGAATTGGATTCCAGTTTTTTGTCTTTTGTGCTCTTAGTCCTATTCATCCGACCATCCTATTATACAATAAGAGATATTCTTAGAATAATAGTCTTGTAATGTAGAGGAAGCAACAATGAAAGTACCATAATATGAGTTTTTACCTTACTTGACGACTTCCCAATAGCAGAAGCTAGTGCGTTAGCAGCATCACCATTCTTTTGTCTATCCTTCCACCAAGCAAACTCAATT